TTATGCCAATAAATTCAGCAATGTTGATGAAAGGGCTAAATTTCTTGAAAGATACAAGCTATCAAAGCTCACTCAAAAGGAAAGAAATATTTTGAGTAACACTATAGCTATTAGAGAAATTGAATTAATAGTTAAAAAGAAAACGTACAAAGAAAACTCCAGGCCCAGGTAGCTTCACTGATGAATTCCACTAAACATTTAAGAAAGAAGTAACAATTTTATACCAGCTTTTCAAGAAAAAAGATAAGGAAGAGACACTTTTCAACTCATTTTTGAGACCAGCATCATTCTGACACCAAGACCAGATAAACAGATTACCAGAAAAGAAAATTACGGACAAATATCTTTCATGAACATAGATACAGATTAAGTTATTTTTCCATTTAATCAAACCAAAGAATTTATTAAAAAGGATAACACTCATGATTGAGTGTAGTTTATCTCAAGAAGGCAAGGTTGGTTTAACATTTGGAAAACAATCACTGTGAATCATCCTATTAACAGACTGAAAAAACACACCATATAATCATCTCCAAATGTGCAGAAAAGGCATTTAAAAAATCCAATATCCATTCATAATAAAAATGCTCAGGAAGCTAGGAATAGAAGGGAAATCTGTTATCTGAAAAAGTTCATCTACAAAATCCAACATCTAATATCATACTTAATAGGGAAAGACTTAATGCTTTCGTCTAAGATCAGGAATAAGAAAAATTTTCTGCTCTTTACCACTTCTATTCCTCATTGCACTGGAGGTTTTAAACAATGTGATAAAACCAGAAAAAAGAATAAAATGCATCAACAGAAAAAGAAATAAAACTCTGTTCATTCAAAGATCACATGGCTGCCCACATAAAAATCTTATGGAATTTCCAATGAGTTACAAGAACAATTAATGAGTTTAGCAAGGTTGCAAGATACAAGATCAATATGCAAAAAATAAACTATTATTTTATATGATAGCTATGTATGATAAAAATTTAAATTAAAAAATACCATTTATGAAGCACCAAAAAATAAAAAAAATATTTAAGGAGAAATCTGACAAAAATGTGGCAGCTCCATATGCTGAAAACTAAGAAACAACAGAGAGAAATTAAAGAACTAAAGAAATGGAGACCTTGGGGCACCTGGGTGGCTCAGTGGGTTGAGCCTCACGTCATGATCTCAGGGTCCTGGGATCAAGCCCTGCATCAGGCTCTCTGCTCAGAGGGGAGCCTGCTTCCCCCACCCCTTCTCTGCCTGCCTCTCTGCCTACTTGTGATTTCTGTCTGTCAAATAAATAAATAAAATCTTAGAAAAGGAAATGGGGAGATTTATTATGTTTGTTATATCAGTTCTCTCCAAATTCATAGATTGATCCATAGATTCATAACAATCCCAGTGAAAACCCTGAAGCCTTTTTTATGCAAATTGACAAATTAGTTTTAAAATTTATATGGAGGGGCACCTGGGTGGCTCAGTCGTTAAATGTCTGCCTTGGGCTCAGGTCATGATCCCAGGGTCCTGGGAAGAGCTCCATATCCGGATCTCTGCTGGGCGGGGGTGGGGTGGGGTGGAGATCGGGTGGGGGGAGCCTGTTTCTCCCTCTCCTACTCCCCCTGCTGTGTTCCCTCTCTCACTCTGTCAAATAAATAAATAATAAAATAAAATAAAATAAAAAAATAAAATTTGTATGGAAATGCAAAGAGCTAGGATAGCCAAACAACTTTGAAAATGAACAGTGCCTGAGAACTTCTACTACCTGACCTCAAGATCTTCTAGAGCTATAACATTCAATACAATGGGGTATCGGTGTTGACACTGACAAGTAGATCAATTAAATATAATATAAATATAAGAAAGGCTCTGCTGTGAAGCCCTGGGAACCTTGCATGTATCCATACAGGCCATGGAAGCAGAAGTCTTGACCCACTACTGATGTAAGTCTTGGCAGGACACTCAGTGATCTTTATGGATGGGAAGCTTGTAAAGTGCTGCTGTAGGGCCAGTGTCCACTTGCTTCACTATCATGAGAGTTTTTCATTATCTTTTGGGTTCTGGCGAGGTTTGGGACTTCCTGCCTTGCCTCCTGAGAACAAAGCTTCAGACTATAGCACCATTCAGCTGAAGTCTACAGTTGGCTGCTCAGCAAATGGATATCCTATAACTCACACTGCTAATTATCTGGCTCCTTTCCTTTAGGTGTTGTCCCTCCTGATATGTAGGAGGAGGGGCTGGCACTTTTGGCCATTCCTCTCTTCACTGTTTCTATAAGTGATAAATGGTCTGAATTTAAGGATGACTCTTTGGGTCTTTACCAACTGAAACAGTCAGACCTCATCCTGTCCTGTGTGCACATGACAAGAGAGTCCAGAAAGAAACCCACACGTATATATAGTCAGTTGCTTTTAGATGAAAGTACAAAGGCAATTCAGTGGGGAAAGGAAAGGCTTTTTGCCAAATGGTGCTGGAACAAGCGGACATCCACATGCAGAGAAAAAAGCTTCGACCCATACCTCACACCATATCCAGAAATTAACTAAACATGGGTCGCAGACTTAAATGTAAAATATACAATCATTGCATTTGTAGAGGAGAATGCAAGAGGAAATGTTTGTGACCCTGGGTTAGGCAAAGATTTTTTTTTTATATAATAACCTAAAATAATCCCTAAAAGAAAAAAATTGATAAGCTGGATTCCACCAACATTATGAACTGCTGTTCTTCAAAATACACTTCTAAGAGAAGAAAATATAACCCATGGATCAGAAGATAAGATTAACCAATTACATGTCTAGTGAGGAACTTGTAGCCAGCATATACAAAGAAATCTCAAAATTTAAGAAGACAACCCAATTTAAAAACATGGGCACAAGGGGTCAAGAGGTGCCTCATTAAAGCAGATATATGGAACTCAAATAGGCACATGAAAAGATGCTCAAATCACTTGTCATTAGGGAATTTCAAATCAAAACTACAATAGTGTACTTCGACACACCTTTTAGGATGTCCACAATTAAAGGGTGACCATGCCAAAGGACTAGTGAGAGTGTGAAACAACCAGGACACCATTGGTGGGAATGTAACGTGCCACAGCCACTTTGGAAACCAGTTTGGCCGTTTCTTAAAAGGTTATCTTTTAATCACATCATAGCATAGGGGCCAGCCATTCTAATCCCAAGTCTACAGCCAGAAGAAAGGAAAGCATACGCCTGTACAAAGGCTGGCACACAAGTGTCCATAGCGGCTGTATTTGTAATAGCCCCAGACTGGAAACAATCCAGTGTCTTTCAGTGTAGGAATGGATAAACACATGGTGGTGTTCCCATACCGCGGAACACCAACTGAGCTAGGAACAGGAGTGAATCATGGATCCGTGAAACCGCATGATGAATCTCGAGGTAATTACGTTGCATGAAAGAGATGGGACAAAATACAAAAGTCTGGCAAATTCAGACTAAATTATAGTGACCAAAAGCAGATCAGTGGGGGCGATGGAAGAGATAGCAGGGGGCAGGGAACCTTGGGATGGGGACAGGTGCGTGGACGATCTTGATTGTGGGGACGGTTCCACGGATGCATATGTAGGTCCGCATGTAGCAGATCGCACATTTAAAATGCGCAGTTTACTGTATGCTGACCACCCCTGAGTCAAGCTGCTTAAAAAAATGTGTTGTTGGAATATGGCTCCCTTCAGCCGCTCGGAAGGCCCGGCGGTCCTCGTGCCTCTCTGAGTCCCTGTTCTCTCAAGTGATCCTGGGACGTGGTGCCCCTGCTGCGGTCATAGCCCTCCGCGCCTGCTCTGACCGCGGTGATTTTATTCAATCCTCACCCGGGCGAGAGAAGAAATGAGAGAAGAAATGATAAGCCCGAGGGCAGGGACGAGAACGTTTTGACTAAAGAAGTGTCAAGATGACAAAATGCAAGCTGAGAAACCCAAGCCTAATTCCTGCGCTCCGACGCTGTGGCCCCCCTCCGCTTCTCCCGGGGGGGGGGGGCCCTCGCGGGCCCCGCGGGGATGGACACCCTGCAGCCTCAGCCGCGGGGCCCGACCAGCAGCTGCGGGACTCGCGGAACCCCGGCGCCTGGGCGGGCGGTGGGCTCCGGGCCGCGGTGCCCCTGCAAATGCCGAGCAGAGCTCGGCTTCCTGTGGGACTCCGAAGCCCCTCCCGAGGAGCTAACCATTTATGTCACACTGTGACAATTATTCTGCATAAAATTATCATTAAAAACCCTAATTTTTCAGCCTCCAACCCCGCCAGTGGCCTTTTAGCATTCTTCAGCGCCGGCGTCTGCAGGCCTGTGATCACGGCGCTCATTACCTCGGTGTGGGGCCTCCCGCCTCGCGCTCGCAATCAAGCGCTAATTATACCCGCCCGGGGGCCGGGGGCTGGGGGCCGGGGGATCTGGGTCCGGGGGGCCGGGGGATCGGGGTCCGGGGTCCGGGGTCCGGGGTCCCGGGCCCTGGGCCCGGAGGAGAATCCAGTACTCTCTGGGGCGTGGCAGGGTCTGGGTCTGGGGTCTTAGGGGTTCCGTCTGAGTCGCGAGGCAGGGGCTGGGGTAGGAGCTCAGGTCGGTGAGGGGTCTGGGGTCTGGGGTTCAGGGTCTGGGTAGGGTGGTGGGGGCAAGAATAGGGACCAAGGGCGGGTCGCGGTCTCGGGTCAGGGCGCAGGGGTTGTCTGAGGCCGGTGGCCGGGCACAGGACCAGTTGGGTTCTGCTGCTGTGTGTGTGGCGGGGGAGAGGGTCTGGGGGCGGAGTCCGGAGGTAGGGGTGGCTGGCTGGGCCGCGGAGCGGTGACAGCGGCCCGGGTCCGGATTCCAGGTTGGTTGAGGACGCGGGGTGTGCCCGGGTCATGGGGCATGGGCTGAGGCTAGGTGCTGGGACCCGGTCTAGGGGCGGCGGGAGCTCGGAGGCGGGGCCGGGGGCGGAGGGACGTGGCCGGCTTCTGGAAGCCCGGCCAGGTCGGCTCCAGGTCTGCGGCCGCAGTCTGGGGCCCTGCCCGGCCGCGCGTCCTTACCCGAGCGAGGCTGTGGTGCGGCAGAGGTGCAGGGGCGTCAAGCCCTCGGCGCTGAGCAGGTCGGGGTCCGCGCCGTGCTGCAGCAGCAGCTGGGCGCAGGCCGTGTGGCCTCCCACGCAGGCCTCGTGCAGGGCTCCCTGGCCCCCCGGGCTGGCGTCGGGGTCTGCACCGCGGCTGAGCAGGTGGCGCACGCAGGCGGTGTGGCCGCGGGCTGACGCGATGCACAGCGGGGTGGTGAGCTCGCGCTTGTACTCTAGGGTCCAGAGGCCTGTGGGAGAGGAGAGGTAAAGTGAATGGGGGAGCGGAGAGGGGGCAGTGTCCACTAAGGACGATGTAGGGTGGAACCATCTCTGAGAATTAGCCACCAGGTGGGCGTGTAGATAAATAAAGATACATACAGACCAAAGAGAGGCATATAAAGACCCAGAGGGTTGGGATGGGGTGGATATCTCCTACGCTAAGGAAACGGAGGTGGGAGGACAAAGGCAGACAGGGGCAGAGAGAACTCTTGAGGGAAAACCAGCGCAGGAAAGTTGGAAGGAGAGTCGCGAGGCCCGGGAGAGGTGGTGCGGAGGAAGGTGGAATAAAATAGAGACGGATAGGGGCCACAACCGAGCCAGAAGGAATGGAGGGTATCGAGAAGCAAGAGGGTCTTGCCAAATACGGGGAGACGGGGGCCTGGGCTAGGATTTGAGGAGTGAAGGGCTGACCCAGTGGGTGGCTGGTGGGAGGATGTAAGCCAGGAATTCACATTTTCCAGGCTCTGAATTCGGGACATCTTGAAGCAGGAGAGTGAGCTGTGGATTTTTCTGGAATCCAGCTCTCTCTCACTGAACCCCAAACTTACCCCTTTGTCATTAACAGGAGAAGACAGCAAACAGAACAAACTGACCTGCTGATCCAAGGTTGCTCAAGGAAAGGACTTACAAAGTTTAGTCCTCTTGGAAGTGCTGGGTTTCAGAGGCTCCCTTTGATGTGGTGTCCACATTCAGCACAATTCTGGTTTGTTTCTTTGCGCTCTTTAGGGTTGTGTGTGTGTGTGTGCGTGTGTATAGGGTTGCTCTTTCTTGGTGGATGAATGAAGCGGGTGCTATACATTGTACTTGTCTGAAAACTTTGGGCTTTCAAAAGGCCCGTGGAAGGTTGTTAGCGGCCAGGAGCGCTCGTGGAAATGGGGGAAGCGGTCCCCGGTGAATGCACTTCAAGGGACAGGATTTCACATGGCAGGGATGCCTTCTGATAATGATGGAAGAATCGATATCATGGCTGTAATGAGCTGCAGAGGAGACCCTTTTCAGAGGCCACCTCCTTCCTGGGACCCATGCTGAGCCGGTTTTGAAAGACCACTCATAATTACCTACCTGTATGTAGTGCGGAGTTCCAGCCTGCTCTGGGTCCCTAAGGCCCAGCCTGCGTGCTGTTGCCCACTCACTGGGGGATGTGGGGCCTATTGTCCTGGCAGTGGGTGATGGTGGCCAGAGGCCAGCTCCTGGTTTTGACTGTACTCATTTTCCTGAGCTAGGAAGTCTACTCACTGGGTGGGTTGGTGGGCATCTAGGAAGGGGGTACTCCATTCTCCAGGTCACACCAAGTTTTCAGCCCAATTCTGCCCACCCCGGCATCCCTGTTCACCCACCCTGGATTCCTGAGACTTCCTGTGGACTGATGGAAGGGGTCTTGGGTGGACCTTTGGCTCAATGTGGAGTCAGCACCCCTGTCCAGGTCCTGGGAGATGGTGATAAGCTTCCACAAGGCCTTCAGGAAAACCTGACTTCTGAGGCAGCTGTCTGGATCAGAAAGCTTGCATCCGGTGCCTGTAATCTCCACTCCCACTCCCTGGTCCAGGTTCTGGCACCAGGAGGAACAAGGACATAGGTTTCTCCCCATGTAGTTCATCCCTCCTCAAGCCAACACTCTCCTTGGATTGCTAACTAGAGGAAGCCAGCATTCCATCCTGGATGTACTGAGGTGCTGGGGGACAAGCACTGTGAGCGGGCTAGTGTTACCCCCTTGCCCATGGCCCCCTTCAGGGGGATCAGTAACTGGCCACCAGCAAGTCCTCATATGAGAGAGGGCGCTGTTCCTAAGCCATGTTTGGTCATTTCTGAGGCTTGGGTGAGCTGCGGGGAAAGCGGAGTGGGTAAGCGGAAAAAAGCAGGGAGTGCAGCCATCCCCAGGGTCACGCACCCTCTCTTCGCAGTCCACATGAGGCCAGAGACCAGCCCTGGCTCTCAGGGCGGCCCCTTCCACTGCAACAGTTTATCGCCTTGGTGGCTGGGATGCCCTAAGTTTCTGTGGTTTGGGTGTGCCGTAGAAAACCAGCAGAACTCACGGGGTGGAAAGAGTAAGGCAGAAAAAAGGAAGGAGCCCTTAGATTCAGACCATGGGTTAACATTAATGCTTATTTGAACCTGCAACATTTGGGGGTGGGTGGGTGTGTCCAGGGCTGGGAGGCATGGGATTAAAAAAAAAAAAACAAACGACATTGATTGAGTGCAAGCAGTTAGCATTCTTGGTCGAATCACCACCCAGCTCCTGGGAGGAATGCGTTGCCCCTGTCTGGGGCAGATGAAGGAGGGGAGGCCCGGAAGGGCTCCAGGACCCCCTGAGCTGGGGGGTGGTGTGACCCAGACTGCAGCTGCCCTTGTCTTCCCTGAAGCCCCTGCCGCCTCACTGTTTGCACTGAGCTGCTTAGCCCTTTGACAATTTGGGGTTTATTTCCTTCTCCCTGGGTGAGGTATAAACGGAATGGTGTCTGTTCTTTGGAAGCTGATCTTCTGCATTATTTGTCTGCCTGAACCCACAAGTAAGGCACACGGGACATGGGACAGTGGCCATTGACCCACTGACCACAGAGTCTCATATCCTTTTGGTCTGGCTGGGCTGCAGTGGCTTCCAACACATGAACCCTTTTGGTAAATATCTTGTGTCTGGAGACCCCAGGGCAGGGGCGGGGGGGGAAGGATGCTCAATGCAGAGTGCCAGCTGAGAATACCCTGGCTGAAGCCTGCTGGTCAGCAAGTCTCCTCAGACCGGGTGGGTAAATGGAGGGTGTCTCTCTCTTTGGGGGAGTCTCTTGCAGACCCAGCACATAGTGGTGTTCAGGCTGCAAGAATGCCCTCAGATATATGACTTAGGGACCTCTGATTTCTTCTTCTCACTCCCCCATTCTCAGGCTCCCCTGGGTTCTGGGAGGAGCACCTGCTGAGGGCTCTCCCTCTGTTGATGCTGGCTGTGCCCCAGCCACCCCGCTGTAGCCGTGGTGTTCACAGGTTCATAGAAGGACCTGGAGCAGAGCTGCGTGCCAGGGGACCTGCCTCCCTGGCTGCCAGACCCAGGCACTGGCAGATCAGCTCCAAAACCAAGGCTGTCTTTTAAAGATGAGAGGCACCTTCCAGCATCAGATGGGTACTTTTCTCACCCACATTTTGGCCTTTCCAATTTGATTTCTCACATCTCATCATCTAAGACATTGTGCCGACCAAATTTCATTTATAGACATCCTTCGCTCGTGTGTGTTAAATGCAGCGCCAAAGCGAGCAGTCTGCACCCTAGAGTTCCTCGTCTGGAGGAGAGTTAGTAGCTCCTTAAACGTACACAGCTGAGCTTTAAAGGAGAAAGCGTACCTGACAGTCCAAATGTGGCTGGGGATGTCACCTGCCACTCCATCTCATCCTTCTTGATCTCAAACACCACATTGGCATCGTGGAAGGAGCGGTTCATGAGTTGCTGCAGACGGCTCAGATCTCCCGTGACCAAGGCAGCATGGTACTGGAGCACTGGGGACCCAGCTCTCGCTTGAGGCTCTTTTTCCATCTTCTGAAAGATTTGAAGTTCTCTAACTGGCTCTGGCCATCTCTCCATTGCAATGCCCTTGGTTTCAGAAAAGCTCTCCAGGAAGGCGAAAGATGGTCTTATGGAGCGTGAGCTATTTCTATTGTCATTACTCAATTGTCATCCAGCCGGGGCTCGGTGCTGGTGTATTTATAACTCCTGCGGGCTCCGATGTGATCATGGTTACTTGATACGACCAGAGTCATGTGACCACTGACATGCCCGAGTGCTCAGCCACCCCCTTGTGATTATATAGATTTGTCTTCCAGAGACAGATACATCTGTTTATCTCCAAAACAGCTCTCCACAGGAGGGCAGGCACCCGACAATGGGCGGGGCTTCTTTTCCTGCTCTGTAGGGTGTCTTCTTGTTGTTGGTCTATCGCTTTCTTTGCTGCTGTGGACAAGGGTGGGCAGACGTGTGTTCTGAGGGCTGTGTGAGCCCTGAGCATGTATAAGGAGCCCCAGCTGGATGCTGCAAACGACCAGGCTGTCCCCAAGTGTCCCTGGGTGGGAGGCTCCATAGGGTAGACCATGGATTCCCAAAGGCATCATCTTGGGCCCCTGGTGGCTCGTGAATTTCTTTCAGTTGTTGAGAACTCATCCCCAAAGGCCCATAGAAATGCCACAATCTCTGTTTCCGAAACGAATGGGAACAGCTTTTTATTAGCAACTTACTAGTTATTTGCTACAGTTTAGTGCAGGGCTTTATTTGTCTAAAAATTAATAAAATCATTTTTTCTCATAATATGGGTAATACACATTCTTACATCTTTTTTTCCCAGTTCTTGTTTTTCTCCCACTAGGAAGTTGGGATGGGCCACCTTGGTTGGGCTATAGCATTCTTTGCCATGTCCGTGTCAGTGATGATAAAAGATGTGTGGCTAGAGGCTAGAGGGCAGACAGAGGCTCAGGGAGGGTGCTGCTTGGATGGGCCAAAGGGGACATGGTGGAGCACGTGCCCGGGACACTGATGCACAGAGACGCTGAGGGAGGGGAAAGAACAGCAGCCACCATCCACGCGGCTCCAGTGTTGGACACGCATCCATGGGATTGGACACACCCCCGTGGGATCCTGTTGCTCTATGGTGTTGCAGTCAAAGAAATGACAGAGACGACAGGAAGAAAGACTTGAACTCAAGGAATCGGGGTTGTAGGGGAAGCGCAGGCTTGGTCACAGCCAAACTTCTTAAGCACCCTCTTCCCCCGTGTTTCTGTCTCTTGATCTTTGTACCTCAAAGCGCCCCTTGACTCCTTCTGTTCTTCTAAGCACGCCCCCTCCCGCCCCCCAGTCTCAGCAGGCTGTCTGTGTTGGCTCTTTGTTTTGAACAGTAATTCACCAAGACTTTCCACAACAACAGCAGGCCCAGCAGAGTGCCCTTGATCTTCCTTAGAAGAGGTAAAAGGTGAAGGCGAAATCACCTGCATTTATCATTTAATACAGATATGGTTCTACCCTGGTTATAGAGCTGATTTGCAGGCATAAATGCACATGCATGGACTGACCCACGGCTTGGAGTTTCCTCTTACGTGGTAGAACTCAGATCTCCTCTCTGAAGAGGGCTGTGGGGTTGCTGGGAAGAGGGAGATGTGCTCATCTCTCTGGTCACTGTGATGCCTTCATGCAGGCAGATAAACAGTATTGATGGTGTCCCCAAAGCTGAAGGGCTCTCATTGGTGCCACACAGTGTGCAGATAGGAGAGACTTGGTCACAGCCTGAGCCAGCTGCCATGGGGCTGCAGGTTAATGATCCTCACTGTGGTTGTCTGATGTCTGGGCCAAGGCTCAGTACAGAGGGTGCCGAAGGGTCCACGGAGTTTAGCTCTCAGGGCTCAGGGTGAGTTGCAGGAGGAGACTCTTTCTACCCAAATATCCCCAGCAAGTAGCTTTCTGTCCAGGACCCCCCATAGGTGGGCAGCCTTGATGACATTTGCAGAAGAGGAAATCAGGACTCCGAGGTCCAGGTAACTTGCTCAAGGCTTCTCGATCCTGAGATGGTCAGCACCCAAACACCTGACTGTGAGCACAAGGACTTCCTACCTAGCCCTCACTGCTGCCGTGGACCATGACACATTTTAGCACAGGGATTGGTAGTCCTCTGATGGTGTATGGTGTCTCAGGCCTCCAAGTGTATGTACATGCTGTCCCCTGTACCTGGCATTCTGGTGGTCCCCTTGACCCTGGCTGGCTCCATTCTTCAATGCTCAGCTTAGATTCCCTTCATTTCCGTGGCTAGTTCTGTTGTCTGTTCTGGCACTCTGTCCATGGTACCTGGCTCACTGTTGATTGCTGCTCTTGTCTCTGCCCCCCACTGGACCATAAGCATCTGCTTCTTCATCTGCATGGGGGTTCTTAGTACCTAGCACAGTGTTGTCACTGTGGTCCTCAACTGGTCCTCAGTGGAGACGGTGAAAGTACGAATGGATTGATCTCTTTGAAATTTGCTCAAGTGCACTGAAATTCCTCCTGTTCTTGGCCATCTGCTACTTTTTCCCTTAGGGAATTTAGGTGGTAAACTAGCCCCATGGCTGGCCAAGGACAGGGGCTCAGATGCAGAGGCTAGGGGTTCTGCCTCAGATCTGTGAGCTTCAGTATACACCCTACCTTTCCCCACATGTCAAAATGCTTTACAAAATTTCATAGGACTGTCTATTGAATGCTTCCTGGAGGCTCTTCATTTTCATATTCCACTATAATTAACACATGGCATTATATTAGTTTCCAGGGTACAATAGAATGATTCAATAATTCTATAAATTTCTCAGTGCTCATCATGGTAAGCGTACTTGTTGAGCATCTTTTCATGTGTTTGGTGGCCATCTGTAGGTCTTCTTTGAAAAAATGTCTATTCAGGCCCTTTGCTCATTTTTAATTGGATTATTATTATTATTGTCATTTTGGTGTTGAGTTATAGAAGTTCTTTATATATTTTGGATATTTACCCCTCATGGATATATCATTTGCAAATATCTTCTCCATTTCAGTAGGCTGCCCTTTCATTTATTGATGTTTTCCTTTGCTGTGCAGAAGCTTTTTATTTCGGTGTAATCTCAATAGTTTAATCTTACTTTTGTTTCCCTTGCCAAAGGAGACATATCTGGGAAAATGTTTCTATGGTTGATATCAGAGAAATTATTGCTTATGTTTTCTTCTAGGAATTTTATGGTTCAGGTCTCACATTTAGGTCTTTTTTTCATTTCGAGTTTATTTTTGTGTATGGTATAAGAAGGTGGTCCAGTTTCCTTCTTCTGCATGTTGCTGTCCAGTTTTACCAGCACCATTTGGTGGAGAATGTCTCTTTCCCACTGGATATTAATAGATTAATCAACCATATAAACATGGGTTTATTTTTGGACTCTATTCCGTCCTATTGAACTATGTGTCTATTTTTGTGCCACTACCCTACTGTTTTGATTACTACAGTTTTCTAGTATATCTTGAAATCTAGGATTGTGATACCTTCACTTCAGCTTTGTTCTTCTTTTTAAGACTTCTTTGGCTATTTTTTTTTTTTAGCTCTGTAAATAATGTTGGTATAGGAACTGCATTCAATCTGTAGATTGCTTTGGGTGGTATGGACATTTTTAACAATATTGGTTCTCCCAATCCATGAGGGATGGGATCCATGAGGGTCCTTTAAAACGTCATTTCATATGTTTTAAATTTTACCTCCCTTGTCTTCATCAGCAGTGGCAAAGAGAGAATCAGTGTCATCAGTGGAAGAGCTGAGATTTTTTTCAAGACCACTCCCATGTGCCTGAAACACTGCTGGTTGTTATGGACAGGGTAGTGGTAAAGAATATAACCATGTTTGCAAGGAACTCACAGCCTCCATCGGACATAAGAGGCTTGTGCATACAGAAAACGACAAAAGGCAACACTACATAGACCATATCCTGTATCAGTTGTACACTAGCATAAGCCAACCACTCTCCCCACTTCATTCATATACTAGGCAGTTACTCTATTTGTTCTTTGGATTTTTCATTTCTATAAGCTTAGCCATTTTGCCATGTTATTTTTCTCAGACTAGTTGTGATTAGATTCATTTCAGAAGGACTTATTCATACACAACTCTAATATGATCCAACTCGGACTTCACTTTAAACCAGAGAATTCCTTTGTTCCTGATGTATTTTGTCATGGGTTATTTTTAGAAGGGGTGGGAAAATTGGAGGTGAGTCCTGGGATAAGAGCCATTCTGGCCTGTGTTCTGCGATAAATTTAGCTTTCCATGCATTATATTTGTCAACAGTGCCCTAAAATATCCAAGCTTGATTTCAGCGGGTAGAGAGTAGCAGTCCAGAAACAGACACAGTTCTTTTTGAGAGCTTTAAAAATAGCCCACAGGAGACAGCATTGATTTTACAAGTAGGACATGTAGATTACTTCAGGAGCATGACGGAGGTGTCTTGTTTTTGTTTTTGTTTTTTTAAAGAGCAGCAATAGCCATATGTGGTTATATGTTAAAAAACAAAATAAAAAAAAACAAAAAACTCTATAAACACTTAAAAACAAATCCAGTCGTTCCTCTATTCATTCAATAAGCATTCATGGGATATTATGCTCTAGGGTGTGTGGTTAGGTTTTGGGGATACAGAGACAAAAAATATAAGAATCCTGCCCCCAAGGACCACACAAGAAAGAGCAGTGACCACAGGACCCTAACATAGAGGAGTTTTTTAGTCCTCCTTCCCACCAGCTGAATGATGTCCTTTGATGACAGGTGAACAGCACTGTTTCCTGATCCAGCACTGGGCTCCTTCTTGCCCATTGTACAACAGTTCTTTCCATCCATACTTTGCTTGGGCCATTTTAATTTTATTTTTATTGTCTTCACCCTTCTCAGCTTAGTCAGAGCCAATGCGTAAGCTTTAAGATACAACTCAAACCTTATCTTCTCTACCTATTTCAGTCCATATGAAAACTCAACTTCTTCCAAGAGTGAATTTGTATATGATGTTGCTGAGCAATTATTAAAATCCTTGAAGAATTATGATAAAACAGAAGGACCAGAAAGACCAGAGTTTTAGTTTTCAAATAAATAAAGAATTTGATCCCTCAAAGTCTGAATTGACATCAGTGCTGGGCAACATCCCTAAAAAGATGAAAAGGATGGTTTAGGAACATTTAGAAAAGGGAGTGGGGATACTTGGAGCTCTGTGGGTCCCTAGGAACAAGTCATGGTGGATAAAAGAATTTTCCTTTGTGACATGGAGTCATTCATTAATATGTAGACGGGATGTAGGCA